TTAAAAGGCAATATATAAAATAAAGTTTATTATTCTTAAGCACATCTGCAGGACGAGCTGGGATGATGAGGGGCAAGTGGGGCTCAGAGACCAGTGACAAGGCTGTAATATAGCCCTTACTGCTTCCAGCACTGGTCCCACACACATCTCCTAGCCCAGGACCTTCACAATAAACCCTGCTGATCAACCCCACACAATTATATAAATCAGCAGAATGAATTTACTTAAGTTGTATCTAGTCAATAAGATATCAGTGCACCTGCAACTAAAAAGGACTGTCAGTTTCCCCGATAACTGTACGAATGTTTGTTGTTATAACCAAGTAAACATTCTGTTTTCTGTTGCAACACCTGGGCCAAAGGGACACGTTTAATAGTGGAGGAAGTTAAATTTTAACAATTAAACAGACCTTTTGTAGGAATAACTGTGATTGGTTTACAAAGAATAATTACTGAAATATTGTTGTTAATGGTTAAATTATTAGTGTTAGGAGGAATTCTCCCACATGTATCTATGTTGCTGGAGACTAAGGAGAAACAAGTCCTTCTGAATTTTCCCAACAAGAAAACGAGAGGCAAACCCTTACGCTAGAACCTGAAAATGGAGCATTCTGTTATTTGTATCTGAAACCAAAAGCAAACCCTAGAATCTACGGATTGTTCCCCCTCACACAATTTCCCTCTTCAGCAGGTGTGGCTGAACTTGTCCTGCAGCTTCTGTAGCCTTTGAAAAGCCCCACAACAGGTGCCTTGTGCTTTTGTGAATGGCCCTCTTATGTTGGCACACAGATCTCGAAATCACTGCTGAGGAGTGTGTGATTACACACCCTTTCACTGATGAAAAAATCCCACTCGGGGCTTGTAAAAAAAAAAAAGCTGGGAAATTGGGACAGCGGCGCCCAAGACGGTGTTAAAAGTTTACATGCCAAGTTCATAAATCACAAAGGTGCGAATATATATTTGGCAGAATTGATAAGACCACAGCTTCAAACGAAAACATGTACAGCCGTGCGGAGCAATTTCTGCCAACACGTGTCTGCGCTGCCCTTGCCTTCTGGCATGTAGAGCAGGTCTTGCTTTTAAAAATAGCACCAGCAATGCAGCTGTCATGATGCTCTTCCACTTACCCACAAGCGGAAATCTGGACTGGCTTTCCTGCAGAGTCGCGGGAGGAGTGCGTCCTCACGGCCCTTGATTTCCCGAAGCCGGGACTGGCGAGGTTACTCCTGTAGGCCGCTGGGCTTTTCCAGGGCGGCTCCCAGGGAGAACAGGAGAGGGTCACACTGAGAGGACTGCTGTGCACCTAGAAGTACTATAGAGCCTGCTGCAGGGCTGCAGTCAGGTATTCCCAAAGTGCATTGCAGTGGTGATGAACCACATCTGATGGGGCGCTTGGGTAAAGGGGTGCATTGGCAGAGTGGCAATGACAATTAACCAGGGTGGGGGCTGCAAAGGTGACCCCCCCTGTATTTGGCGGGGCATCAGTGATGTTGTCCGTCTTCATACCATCCAGCACCCAAGCTGAAGGCACGCGACTGAAAGGCTGCAGGGGCAGGGCAGAGCACTCATTGGAGTGCTTCTTAACCCTCTCCGTGTAAGAATACATCGGGGTCTGCCTTGCTCTTCTAAAAACAAAAACCTGACAGGTTGGCTTTCCTTCACCAATAGCTGAGAGCTCTGTCTCCTCGAGTTGGGGGAGGGAACTATCCCCTTTATAGCTTCAAGAGCTGGCTACACACACTCTCACGTACACGCACAAACCCCAGAGCCCCAGAAAATCAGAAAACATTTTTTTCTCCCAATCTATGTTATTATCCACTTCCACCCCCCAAGTAAAACCTGCTGCTGGCTCTGCCTGAGAGCGGACTATGTCGTTCCTGGGACGATGGAGGGTTTGTAGCAACCTGACAAACTGGTGGCTAGTTGGAGAAAGGGTGGGAGAAATGCAGGCTGTTCTCAGTTCACCGGCTCTCTCCGGCTCTCTTTCAGCACCATCATGATTCCGGTGAACGAGCTCCGGCACTTTGCGGTGGACCAGAACCCCCGGCTGCGGGTTCTGAAGCCGTGGTGGGACGTGTTCGCTGAGTACCTCTGTGTAGCCATGCTGATGATCGGGGTCTTCGGCTGCACCTTACAGGTAGGGACTCGGTCCAGCCTGACACCGTGTGTTCTTATTCTGAATGCTGCGTTCAGATCCGGAGACAGGCACCAGTTTAGAAAGAATTCAAAGAAGATTTGTGCCTGATCTCAGGGCACTGTCGTAAATGGACACGTTAAAGGAGCTTCAAGTGTATTAAATCCTAAGGGTCAGTCAAGGAGAATATTTCAGCCTCTGAACCCCGACAAGACAAACAAGGAAGTGGGGTCATACTTGGAAACTACAGGATAATTTATTTAGGAGGCAAAACAGCAAACGCTTTTCTTACAAAAAGGTGTGGGAGACTGGCTCAAGCTTCCCAGTTTGATTGTTGAAGCCAAAACTTACTTAGATCCTAAACTACTACACAAGCAAGATGGGTTGTTTGTAACCTTTCTGTTGACCAGGCTGTTGCTATACCCTTAAACACTTAAACAGTTACAGTAAGGAAAAATGAGAAACATTAGGCACATTTCTTAAGGCAAGAAGAAACAAGTAGAGATGAGTAGACATTACACTGCAGGGCGGAACTAACTTTTTTTGTGCAGAGGAATCAGGCTGATAGTTAACAAAGAGGCACATGAAAAATTCTTGAACAAATAGCTCTTCACAGTTTCTCCCTCTACATAAACACTTTGAACTTGGCAAAAAACACGACTTTGGAAGAAGATGGCCATTTATGTTATTTCCCTTGGCCAGTCAATATCCAGACACCCAGAAGTCTTCTCAAAAGCTAGAGATCAAAGGGTGACAACTGAAAACTGCTTAGAAGAACTAATACACCTGTTAGATCATGGTCTCTTCGTAATTGCTGGGAAAAGCATAAAACGTTCTGAAATCTCCTCTTGGTCCTCCTATCAAGGGCTTTCCTGCAAATTCACAGACCCAGCCTGCCAAGCAATTCACTCCTTCTGCCAATATAAAAACCCCAGTCAAGTCTAGAGTTATACAGAAAGATCCTTCCCTGCACACTTAAAGCCCACTAAACCTTCTCTTCTTCTTTGTCTGTCTGGCAGCTGACGCAAGACAAGATAGCGTGTCTCCCGACCCACCTTTCTGCTCCCTCCCCGGAGGATATAAACTGTGATCACATCACAGGCAATCACGTCAATAGGAGCCACCTTGGTCTGCCCACTGATCCCAACCCCTCGCCTCACAGCTCAATGGTCCGGGAGTTTTTCGGGCTGAAAAACAACCTGGACCTTCACCAGTATGTCTTTGTCAACCACATCTGCTACGAGATGGCGCTTCACTGGTATGCCAAGTACTTCCCTTACCTCGTGGTCATCCATACCCTCGTCTTCATGATCTGCAGCAGCTTCTGGTTCAAGTTCCCTGGCACCTCCTCCAAGATCGAGCTCTTCGTCTCCATCCTGGGCCAGTGCTTCGACTCACCCTGGACCACCCGCGCCCTGAGCGAGGTCTCCGAAGAGCGCCGGGAGGAGAAACTGGTCATCCTGCGGGAGAACGCCTTCTTGAAGTCATCCTCCTCCTCAGCCGACTATGCCGCACGAGAGGAAGAGGTGGCCGGCCTTCTGCCCTCCGCCTCGGTCAAGTCCAACCCTGAAAAGAAGCTGGCCGAGCAGCAGGCGGACGCCTCCACTCTGGACAAGAAAGAAGGGGAGCAGGCCAAGGCACTTTTCGAGAAGGTCAAGAAGTTCCGCCACCATGTGGAGGAAGCAGACCTCCTCTACCTCATGTACGTGCTCCAGACGGTCCTCAAGGTCCTCAACGTGGCTCTGATCATCATCTATACTGCTGCTCTGGTCCCCAACATCCAAATTGTGGTGCGGTGCTCCGTACCGGAGGACCTGACCGGCTACGAAATCTTTTGCTGCAGTCACACCAAAGCCCACCTCTTCTCCAAGCTGGCCTACTGCTACATCTGCTTCGTGGGCATCTACGGATTGCTGTGCATCTACACCCTGTACTGGCTTTTCCATCGCCCCCTGAAGGAGTACTCCTTCGATGTCATGCGTCTGGAGACGGGGATCAACGACATACCGGACGTGAAGAACGACTTCGCCTTCCTGCTGCACCTGAGCGACCAGTACGACGCCCTCTATGCCAAGCGATTTGCCGTCTTCCTCTCCGAGGTGAGCGAGAGCCGGTTGCGGCAGATGAACCTCAACCACGAGTGGGGGGCGGAGAAGCTGCGGCAGCGCCTGGCCAAGAACGCGCAGAACCGCCTGGAGCTGCACCTCTTCATGCTTCCGGGGCTCCCGGACACTGTGTTCGAGGTGACGGAGGTGGAGTCTCTGAAGCTGGAGCTCCTGAGCGACGTCACCATCCCTGCCACTATCTCCCAGCTGGCTGCCCTGCAAGAGCTCTCCCTTATCCACTGCCCCACCAAACTGCAGCTGGCCGCCCTCAACCACTTGCGCGAAAACCTCCGGGTCCTGCGACTCACCTTTGATGGGCCGGAGCAGGTGCCTGGGTGGATATACAGCCTGCAGGGCCTGGAGGAGCTCCACCTGACGGGCTCCCTCACCCACGAGCTCTCCCGCAGTGCCTCCCTGGACACCTTGAAGGAGCTGAAGAGCCTGAAGGTTCTGACCCTGCGGAGCCATCTCCCGAAGATCCCACAGAGCGTGGCGGATATCGGCGGGCGCCTGCAAAAGCTCTGCATCTACAACGAGGGCACCAAGCTGCAGGCCTTCAGCAGCCTGAAGAAGCTGTCCAACCTCATCTCACTAGAGCTGGTGGGGTGCGAACTAGAACGCATCCCCCACGCCGTCTTCAGCCTGAGCAACCTGCAGGAGCTAGACCTCAAGGACAACCGCCTCACCTCCGTGGAGGAGATCCTCAGCCTGCAACACTGCCGCCGCCTTGTTTCCCTCAAACTGTGGCACAACAGCATAGTCTACATCCCTGATCACATCCGCAAGCTCCGGGCCCTGGAGTGCCTGTACCTGCGCTGCAACAAGATCCACAGCCTGCCCCCTGGCTTGTTCTACTGCACCAAGCTGCGTCACTTGGACCTGTCCCAGAATCTACTCACCAGCATCCCGCTTGATGTGGGCATCCTGCAGGGCCTGCAGTATCTGTCTGTGGACAGCAACTCCGTGGACTCCCTCCCCGACGAGCTCTTCTTTTTAAAGAGGCTCAAAACCCTCGTACTCAGTAACAACCAGATCGCCTCCCTCTCGCCGAAAGTGTCCAGTCTGACCCAGCTGGTCAGGCTGGAGCTGAAGGGGAATAACCTCGAGGCGCTGCCCCCCGAGATCGGGGACTGCCCTCTCCTCCGCCGCAGCGGGCTGGTGGTGGAGGATGCCATCTTTGACCTCCTGCCCCCCGACATCCGAGACAGGATAAAGGACGGCTAACGGGAATTGAGGAGGCAGTGCCATGGCTAAAAGATGAGAGAGCCAAGTCACATGTGTGGATAACTCAGGGTCATAACACAGGAGTTCCTCTGGGATGCACTACCAGGACGGAATGTCCTGCTGTGGGAAAAGGGGGTGATCAGAACTGTGCCTGTCTTTATACAGATTACCAAATAGGTCTCCAAACAGTGAACAATGATGAGCATTTTCCAGCCTGCTGCTTAGGAGGGTAGCTAGAGGTACCTGGTTTTCATTTATAAATGTAATGAACTGAACAGCTTAACGTTTAGTAAGATGACAATCGGGAAGGGATCTGAGAACTTTCTGCAAAAACCTCTTCAGCTTTTTTTAACACAATTTTTCTTTATTGGCATTGAACAGCCATGCAATTTGCAATGAAGAACACTTTTTGTGAATTGCAGCTACCAAGTGTCTTTTGCATGACCATTGATTCACAGCAGCTGATTTGATGAGAAAGGGTAATTACTATGTAATGCTGCTCAGAAATGGCTACGGATGAGGCCGTACCTCCCATCATGCTCTACTTCCTGGGAATTTGCTATGCAGACCTAGCTAGGAAAACTGTTTTTAGTCCTATCATCTTAGAGCCTTGCCATCAACTCATTGCTGAAGCTATGGAATTCCCAACAGATACAGGACACATCTCATCAGCCAATCCAATGCAACCCTGGACAGGACAAAAGGGTGTCAGTTTCATAGCAAGCCCCACCCTCAACTCCCTCCACCTGAGCAGAGACCCTAGTTCAGGCTGTTACCTACTACGGTACTGCACCTACTAGGTTAATTACGATAGGAAGCATTGCAGTTGCAAGTAATGCTGTGCACATTTGCTGTTATTATACAATACCATCAGTTTCAGGGGTATTAAACCTTGATTTGCAAGGGCTACTGATCAGCAGGTATTCATTTTCTTAAATAATTAAAAAAAAAATCATTACTGCTTAATGGGACCAATTCAGCAATTTCTCTGGTGCTTCAGATAGACATGGACAGCCCTAATTTAACTGATCAATCACACCTTACTTTTTCATATTTCGGGAAACCAATATTTGTTCCATACCTTAAAGTACTGAACGTTTTCGACTAATGAACCATGAAGAAGTGTGGCTGAACACCTATACAATTGGGTTAAAGTAAAAAGTGCCAGAAGTGAATGTTTTAGATGCTGCTCTTGAATACACAGCCCACGTGGGCCTCGTTAGCAGCACAGTACTCTACAGAGAGCAAGGCTTTATAACACAACAAGCACAAAATACCACAATATGAGGTCTCCAAAGACCATCAAAACCCTTTAAGTGCTCAGTCAGCAAGGATTCAAACCTCAGGGATAATTATGAAGCCTGAACTTCTCCTTTTTCCCTCACTGTTGATAACACTTTCAGCAGACCTGTTTTGTAGAGCTCATAGGGTTGCTGATGAGGACGAGAAGAACTATCTCATGTGACAGGTTTGAGGCTCAGCTGTGGCCACAGAATGATGTAAATCTCCCTCATGCATCAGCAGCTATTAGATTAAAAACAAACACAGGTTTGAGTTTGGCCATCTACACAACCACTGGTGCACTGTTGACACCCCATTTCAAAATACAGAATAAAGAGAACAGTATCAATTAAAATTGTTTTATTGCGTTAATAAAAGGTCACAAATCTTTTCTTTTTCAAAAGGTAAAGTTGAGTTTAGAGATGAAGGTATCCTCCACTCCTGAGCTCCAGAAGGTCTTCACACTTTCTAATTACAATAAAAAGATCTGGGGTTGCAAAGAATGGTTTAAGTGGTCCAATTACAGCTTAATTTTTTCCTTGTTGAGGGTTTAAAAATGCCTATTAAACCTTTTTTGTTTTGGTGTGGTTGTCGGGAGGGGGGGTGCTCTGCAATAGGACAAGCAGCACAAGCTCAGGGCAATGCGACTAACCCAGCTGTGAGAACCAACATACTATTCCTCAACTGCTTGGATAGCAAAATAAAATAAACTTCAAGTGCTCAAGCTTACAGCCTTGTTTGTCTTTCCCGCCTGTACACAGCTGCAGTCCCGGAGGTGCCGTAGTTTCTGCAGGTCCATGTACTGGGACGGACTTCCTGTCTGATCTAACCAGTGGCTCAGCTGGACCCCAGTTCAGCCTCTTTCCCCAGGAGGTGTAAAAGCAGCGGTAAGGCCAGCAGGCCTGCCGCTCCCCAGTGACTGAATGAAAATCAACACTCAGCTCCAGCTCACATCACCACTGTTGGCCAGTTACAGTAAAAAAAAAACAGACAGGCCAGTTGGGAAACAACTGAATTATCAGAAAAAATGTAAGACTGTTTCACTCACACCAAATTAAAGCAAACTCAGGCCTGAACACCTACAAAACGCACAGGACTGTTGCGTTCAGGGATGAGTCTTGGTCCAATCTACCTTTGTCCAGTCTAGCTCAGCCCAGCCCAGCCCAATGAAATACAGGCCAGCCCAGATCAAGCTCCTCTTCCCTGTTATCCTGGCCTCAGTGGCCATGGTTCTGATGCTAGAGTGGTTCAAAGAACCGCGATTAAGAGAACAAATATGGACCACATTAAACAAACGATCAGTCTATTTGTACAAAAAGACCTTTAAAAAGGTAGGTCTTGCAATGATGGAAAACACAAACCCAGGTAAACAGAATTCATTTTTATCAGGTACATTTTTTAACTATATTAAAATTCAACCCAACATCTCCCAAGAATTCATGCATTTCACTGGGGACGGCAGAACAGGTCCCGACCTGGAAATTCAATTTCTGAAGACTGGAAGTGAAATACAATGATCACAGTGCTTTATCTGAAGAGGGGAACTCATGCTTTTGTTCTTCTGTGTTGTTCTGTTCAATGTTGTGCACCCCACATCATAACCCACATCACTCACAATCAAAAAGAGCGAACTGCCGAGATACATTTTCAAATGGGTGGAGAAATGGAAAATTGCAAATGCTGCACAAAGCTGCCTGCAATTTCTTTACAAAATGCTCTGGCCCAATTATATTCTCATGACCGCATGAAGTCTTTGCTCAGGTCAGATCAAGACACTGGGCATGCAGTCACCTGCAGAGGTCAATGTTGGAACACAAGTGTTGCACATTTACGGAGACCCATTTTAATTGCCATGTAGCCTTAGATTTGACCTTCTCACAATCCCTGAACTCTGGCTGCACTGAACTCTTAAGAGGGCTTCAATACTTTGGATTTCCAATGGGGATACATTATCTCTTTTGTGTGCTGGTGTTTGAAAACCCCTTAGTTCCTGCAGCCGGCACACTATTTGGTCTGACTCTTTTCCTTCTTCTCCTGATCTTTGCGTTTCTGCCTGTTCAGGTGCTTGAAGTGCAACCTCTTGGGGTTGAGCCCGTAGGCCCTGAGTCTCTGCCTGGAGAACTCTCGGCCGCCCACTTTCACCTTCAAGGACCTCCGTATTAGGCGTCCTCCCGGCTGCCTGCGTTTCTTGGTCCCGTCCTTTCCCTTCACTCTTCCCGGGAGCCCATTCTGCTTCTCTCCCTCGCTGTCAACCTCTCTCCTTCTTTTCTTTGGAGTGGAGAATCCCTGTTCCTCCTCCGGTTCTGTGGAAGCTAGAGTCTTGTTGGCGCTGTGCGACTCAGCCCCCTCTAGGCTGGGCCCCGCCTTGTCTTCCTCTTCCTCCTGCTCCTCCTCCTCTCCTTCCCTGCCCTTCTGTTTCCTCAGTCGATCCCTCCTCTTCTTTCCCATTTTCGTCTTCCCCTCTGTCTGCACGCGTAGCGCTTCTTCCTCACTGCAGTGAGAAAAAATAAAGAAAAAAAGAGAGAAGCAAAAGGGGTGAGAATTTGTGGTGTCTGTGGCTCATGACAAAGGCTCTGGCTAGCCACCTCCAAGATTTAAAAGGACCCGCCTGGTCCATCTGGCCCCTCTGCGAGAGGAACTCCCAAGAAGAATCGCAGAGTGTGAAACACCACGCCCGTGCAAAATGCAGGGGAAATTAGGCAATACACAAGAACCAGCAGGCACTAACTAAGGGTGTAGGCTGAGCTCCTAAACCCCTAATGTCCTGTTTTCCCAGCCTGCAGACACACAGCACTGTCTCGTTCCTGCTGGCTTCACAAACACAAGCATTGTCATCAACTCCACGCCCTGAAAATGCACAAACGGAGGCAGGGTGGCCTAACCCAGGGCCTGAAAACACCCACAATGTCTTCTTTTAAGATGTTGGTGTGCAGAGGCGGTGAGCTTTGGGAGGGCCAAGCTTAATAACTGTAAATATTGCGGTGTTTGCCTTACAGTAAGTCTTAAAGGACATTCCAAACGTTCACAGCCCACAAATACAGAAAAACCCATCATCTCAGAGGCCCTGTGTTCAGTCTTAAAACTACCATTGCTCATTTCCCAAATATTATTATCAAATGAAAAAGTGTGTATAAAAGAAAAACTACACAAACAAAAATAGCACAATAAACTACTTAAATACTGATTTTGTACACTACCTATATAAATAAATGGGGTAGATAATAAACACAGGCTAAATCTCTCAAATACCAAACCTCTGCTTGTTAGTATTCATAATAAAGTGCATATGAGTCTCGTCACCACAGAAAGAGGTTTGGCATTCCAAACTGTAACAGTTCCTGAAGTTCACACTGAAATACCTCATGGCGATTCAACACCTCTGAATCTACCAGATGCTCAAGACTTGTTTCCCTTGCAGGAGAGACATTCTGAGTAGCGGATTAGAAGTCCGATTTCCGATCTGACATTTTCGTATTCTTGCAGCTAATGTACATGACTCTTCATTTCATTTTTCAGTAAATCCAATGAAAAGTACACAAGGACAAAAGGAGGTCACATGCTATAGGGTACCGTGTCCTAATGCTGGCATCTGCAAAACTAAAAATTAATGAAGACCAAAGACTGCGCTACATTTTTAAGTGGCCATTCTTATTTTCAATAGTACCTAAGGGGCCCTTAGGCTTAATTAAACAGATTAATTTAAATACTACCCTAAGAGGCATTTCAGTAATGGTACGCTGGTCTTTCTGGTCCCTATGCAAACACCAGCTTAACACAACAGTTCCGCGCAGAGAGGGTACTCACTCAATAGTTAGGGATTTGAGGACCTGCTTCTTCTTCCCTATATTCTGGGCCTTTATCTTGTAGTTCTTCACATCGCCCAGCTCCTCCTTCTCCGACCTGTGATGGGCAACAACTAGACATGAAGTATCTCACACCAAAACAGTCACCTTCAGTGCACAGAGTGACTTTCTACTTTCTAAGGAGATTATATACATACAATACAAATAGCTATGAAATGCAAAAGTGAAAAACAAAAGCAGTAAGGCATAAAAATCCAACAATTTTTAAAGAGAAATGCAGTATCAATGTTTCAGACAGGTTACCAAATGACAAATTTCAACTCAAGCAGAAAATTGTGAACTTTGTGAAAGTACTGCAAGTCACCATGTTGTCGCAAACTCACATATGAGCTCCCATGAATTGCAATGTAATGCTGCCCTTCCTGCTCACTAGTCTCTGTAATGACTGATGTATTACGATGTATGAGTGAACAAATACAAGTTGAGCACCAGACATTTCACTCCAGAAATGTTCCAAAGTGATCTGCATGCAGAGTTAACAAGTACTATTTTTCGGCAAAACAGAAATCTAAAACAATATTTCTATTAGATTAAAGGAGATGTAGTCACAAGGCTGCTTGTTTACAATGTAATAGGGCTGCAATACGTCACCAGAAGTTTTGTTGCCTTGTTCTGAATTGCAGAACATGATGCTGCACATACCTGGGAATTTAATTTATTTTGTGGTGTGAATTTGAGGTTTTACAAGTTACTGTGTACATTTTACTTTTATTGTGGTTTGAAATGCACTCATCAATGCTAATTCTTTGTAACACTAAAATATGAGAACAGCCTTGCAGTTCCCCTTTAAATAAAAACACAAGTAGCAAACCACAGAGTAAACAGGTGTATGTTACACCCAGCAAAATGTATTCGGCTCTGTCTAGACACCAAGCCACAGACAAGGACACTGGGATGGTTTCAGTTTTGGAAACTCCTGAGGGCGAGGGCTGTCTTGAAAAGGACTGCACTGAAACGTCTCTCGGCGCTCCTGTGTGGCTCACCTGTACATGCAGGTCTTCTTCAAGGAGCACCAGCGGTTCAGCTCCTTCTCGTCCGCAGCCAAGATCTGCACACAGAAACAACGACACTGGGTCAAACTGCCCTATCCAGCATGCGCCACGTCAGGGCTGCCAAAGGTCATTGGCTCTTGACATCACTGAAGCTCTTTCCGTGAACATTTCTTTTAATTTACTCAACAGCATTCCAGCTGTGACATCTGAGCAGTTAGTGCTCCTATACTGACCTCAAGTGTTCAAGAAGTCTACAGGCCAAATGCAGTGTTATTCAGATCAGTGGTGCTTATTACAAGAACAAGGGAGCTCTGGAGATGTTCAGAGCGGTTCTTCATCATGATACCCACAGTGCAGACTCCGAAAAGAAAAACAATTCGTGTCTGGATGATGCCCACTGTGCGGGCTCAAAGAGGAGATTAAACTGATCAAGCCCTGATGATGCCCACTGTACTGACTCAGAGAGGAGATTAAACTGATTGTGCCTGATGATGCCCACTGTGGAGGCTCAGAGAGAAGATTACAGTGATCATGCCCTGGTCAGTGCAGTTCCCCAGGAGGGGATTAGCAATACCAGGTCAGACTATACTTCAGCTCATCACCGCCAAGCATGGGGGAACACGCACAGTGAGCAGGGGATTTTCAGGGAGCTACTTCTACGACCCTTAGGATCAGGTTCCAGTTTGAGCTGCCCCCCCCCAGCAGTGGCCATACTGCTGTCTCCCTGGCCGAGTGAGACTCACCTCCTCCATGGACAGCCCAAAGTCATTGGGCACCACCTGCCTGTAGCGGAACCGGCAAGGCAGGTCATCGATGATGTCCTCGAAGTCCAGGCGGTAGAACTCGTCCAGGTACTCCTCGAAAGTCTTCTCCGCTGAAAGATCGGCGCAGGATGCCACACTCAACAGTATGGTCAGGGGGGCCCTAACCACGCAACAACAAGCTGCCCCACCCCCGCCCCTCCCTCATCTCCCCAGTCAAAAGCTCTGCAGCGCCCGGCTTTACAAAACCAGAGCAGGGAGCCTGTGGAGACCCAGAGGAGGGTGCAGCGGGTTAATTAAAAACTACCCTGCATCTCCAGTTTCTTTCCTTGTTCTTTCTCAGCTCGATTGCCTGCAAGGTCAACCCGCTGAGCAATGTCTTCATCCTCTTTCAACGGGACGATGAGAGAAGGCATCAGTGCACAGGCCTTTTGTTCCAGCCACCTGCCCACCTTGGGGCGCTCATCGCAGCATGGAAGGACGAGCAGGTGCTTGGGCCTAGTATTCAACACTGACGTCCTGCTAAAACGGCTTCTGTCTCGCCTTAACCCCGTTCAGAATGTCAGATTATTTGTCTAACACCATGATCGCCACCAGAGGTTTCTTCTGCCTTATGATGCTTTCACTGGCTGGCTGGGTCATCACAGGCGAGATGATTCTTAAAAGCTTGGCACATCAGTGCAGTGTCATTCAAGAACAGAAGCAAGTTTACCACGAGGGGAACCATTGGGCCCATCTGGCGCATTTGATAGTCAGTAGTCAATTTATCCAAGCGCTTGTTCCATATTTCTTTTTTGCTTACTTCGAGAAAACGTACAGGGCCCAGCTTCATGAGAATCATGTGCTTGCCAGTCCTAGCCAGGAGACAAGTGGCAATACTCACTGGGGTCAAACACCGGCTTGTCCTTTGTGATGACCTCGGCGAAGTGAGACTTGCGGCGTCTCTTCCCCATCTGCGGCACATCCTCCTTCGTCATCTTCTTCTTCAGCTTCTCCTTCTTCTTCTTTTTCTTGGAGGAAGTGGGCTGCTGGCTGGGGTCATAGTCAGCATCCATCTGCAGTGAAAGGGGTCAAGGGTCAAATGTCAAAGGTCAGATCACCTCAGGTTTAGCCTCCCCCATGGGCCTGGACTGCAAAAGCGCTGCATCATTCGTAGGTGACTAACAACTCTTCCTGAAGTCCTGGCTGAAGGCCAGGAAACACAGAGGGAGTTTAGAGTTCAGGATAATAATTAATACAAATGAAGTCAACAGGAACTCTGTGTGGAATTAAAACCTCAGCTCTTCACTTGCTGCCACTAAAGTGCATGACTTTCAATGTATTAAGTAATTAATTGGACTGTTCATTGCTTTTCTGTGTCTCTTTAAAGTCACCAGCTGCTTAATACCTAAGGAATAAGTCAGGCTGGTTGAATTAAAGGTTGGCTGGTTCAGTGATCTGTGTGGAGTTTGAATGTTCTCCCTGTGTATGTGTGGGTTTTCACCAGGTACTCCAATTTCCTCCAGTAGTCCTAAGATACACTAGTAAGTTAACTGACTTCTGTAAAATTGGCTCTGGTGTGAGTGCGTGCCTGTCTGTGTCTGTGGGTGCCCTGTGATGGACTGGCGTTCCCTCCAAGGTACCCTGCCTTGCGCCTGTTGCTTGCTGGGATTTAACCTGGCTCCCTAGCGACCCTGAATTGGATAAAGTGGTTAGAAAATGGATGGATGGTTCAGTGATGTTTGATATTTATACAGGTCTGATGTGCTTGGCTGCCCCTGACATCCCTCTTTACAGGTGAAGTTCTGAAGCCCATCACTTCTCATTTCTGCTTAGAAAAGACCCAGCTGGAGCAATCTGCAATGGATCCTTGTCTCCTCATAGATCACCATTAAGAAAAAGCTGACACAAGTCATAAACTATTTCTTTATAAATTAGGTCCACTTTGGCTATGCAACAGCACAGCCCAGACTCGCTTAAACAGGTCAAAATACATCACTGCTTCCTGTGTTAGTGGTCAGTCTGGGAGCTGTCTACTTAAAAACTCCATAAAGTGCCCTGGCAGTGTCTCCTTGGGTCTCCTGTGGTGTCCACACACTTCTACATACACTCCCTGCCTCAAGCCCTTCACTCTAACTGTGACTCTGGCTGGAAAGCTGAACCAGAGTGAGTGAGCAGAGCTCAGCACCGAAATACTCCTGGAGTGATTGTTTCCACAGGACAGATCTCACGCCATAACAAGGGAAGTGGGATCTTACGATGAAGTTGGGGTCTTCACAGTAAGGCTCCAAGCTCTCGTACTCTTCCTCCTGCTCCGGTGCCTCCTCTGCCTCGCCGGGCCCAGTCCAGGTGTCCCAGTTCCACTCCCCTGGCAGAGACGGACACAGAGAGGGGCAGGTTACAGCCTCTACGTCCACACCAACCCACCCGTCACAAAGCAGAATGACTGAAATTCCCTTCCCATCAACTCCAATGCAATTGTCTCCTTAATTACTTAATTGTCAATTAGCAGAATCAATTTTACAGTTAAGGCTTAGGATACATTAAAATACATATATGTAGTGTCACTGGATAGGAACATTCATCTGGTTCCTAAACTGTAATTTTCTGCCCTGTTGATTAAAACTCAAGGCTGTGACCTACAGTAAGTGAAGCAAAGCCCTGTCTGGGCTGCCATCTCTTGGCAGAGATGCGACTTAAGACCCCAGTTACAGACGAGGAACACAGCAATGCAACATGGGAACATGGGAGATGGAGACACTGCGGCAGAGGTGATGGGTTGTGGGGTACTTTGTTTCTTAAAATGCCTTCATACTGAGAGGAGCAGATTCACTGAAGAACCTAGATGCCCCTTAAAAGGTAGAAGGAAACAAAAAAAATGAACCTACCATCCAGTTCCTCTTCCTCATCGAACTGGGGCTTCTCTGCCTCCCCTTCCTCGTAGTAATCATCTCCAAAGACCCGCTGAGAAACAGGAAGAGGAGAGAGAAAGGAAGAGAGAAGAAAGGCAGAACAGAAAGAGTGCGTGAGGAGGGCTGGGGATTTCAGTCAACTGGAGACGCAACAGCAAGAGAGCAAAACAAGCAACACGCACAGAAATGTGCTCCAGTCTAGGAAATGTTATGAAAAAATCAGACATACTTTGACTTCATGGATGAACCTCAAAAGATGTTGAACAGCAACACCAGAATTTCAACCTCATCAGGGCTAAGCCTCTTGAACAACATGACACCCTGATGTGGCTGTAACTTCTGTTAACACATCTACCTCTAGTGTAAAACTCTAACAGGATCTTCTTGGAATGAACAACAGGACCCTGGAAACACAGTGTCCTTGAAAGTACCGTACAGTCGACAGCCTCCCTCAACGTCGCCCCACCTGCATGAGCTGGTCGTGATGCTGGGGGTCGAAGTCCCCCTCCAGGTCGCCCTGGCTGAAGGCTAGGCTGGAGTTGCCAGTCAGTTCCTGCAGCTGACGCAGCTTCTCCATGATCTCCTTCCTCTTCAGGTTTTTCAGCTGCTTCAATTCCTCCTGCTTCTGCTCCTTTTCCTGTGAGAGAGAGAGAAAAAGACACCTCCTGTCACAGCCTGAGGAACAGTGAGTCCGTCTCCCAATAATGCTCCAGCCGCCTACAGTAGATGTCAATATTATATAATATGTCTTTGTTGTAAATGTCTGTAACATGTCTGTAGATTTTACTTTACTTCTATTTTTTGTTTTGTTCTATGTTAATTTTATTATTTTTATTTGCTTTGGCAACACTGATTGTACCCATCGGTCATGCTAATAAAGCACCTTGAATTGAATTGAAAAAGACACACAGGGAGAGTGAGAGAGAGAGACAGAGGTGCTGTCTGGAGCAAAACTGCCCAACCAACCAAGCTGTTGAAGACACTGAGATTCTTGGATGTCATTAGTTATTATCAAGGCCATGTGAGGAAACTGGGCCCAACAGCATCATCCTGTTTTTTTCTCCTTTCCTTAGAAAAAGGAGACACAGAGGCAGGGAGTGAGGAGACAGGGAGGCGCGGAGGCAGGGAGTGAGTGGTCCTCACCTTCTTCTTTCTGTCCTTGACCTCCTCCCTCTTGCGCTTCCTCCTGTCATCTTTGGTCCTGACAGAGGTGGCGATGGTGCGAGGGTACGTCTTGATCTGAGGGGAGAGACATTCCGATCTGTTTTAAGACTGAAAGCTTCCATTTAGGGCCGCCTGAGCCGCGCTGCAGTACAATCACATGCAAAAAAAAGAAAAGGTGCCGGCACTCCTCTACACAAAGGGTGGGGGGGGTCCGGAACAAACTGCTCGGTGGCGGCAACAGTTCGGCTCACCTGCAGGCCATCGGGCTCCTCAAAGCGGAAGTTGTACTTCCTCTCAAAGTCCTCCTGCCGGACCAGAAAGGACTCTCCCTCCTCCTCTGAGTCCTCGATCTCCTCCTGTACGATCTCGTCGTAGGTCGGGATCCTACACAGATGGGTAGGCAGACAGGTCATACCCAGCAAAACACAACATTTAAAACAGAAACAGTTTTTAATGCGACCAGATGAATGTAACTGAAAACTCAGATACACAGCTTGTGAAATATATACACAAAATCTTCCCTTACCTGTAACCCAACCTCAAAACAGAGTGCACCCAAAGAAACCGGTTCTGCTCCTCCTCACTAGATTATAATAAGCACCTGACACTATATGCAGAATATGTCCAATAATGATTAACACTCCATGCACATCAGTCACTGTAAAATATGAGAGAATCGATTTGCCTGAAGTACTCTTTGTCACAGGGCTATAGCAGGTGACTACAGTGAGCACTGAATCTATCACAGCCAACACTCTTCATGATGGAGGCTTTCCTCTGCCTTTACTT